CCAGTCATTAAAGAACCTCACTTCACAGTCCTAAAGCACTGAGCTACAGGTTTTGTGGTATGACATGGTGCACCATCCTGCATAAAAATTGTAGCCCCCACACTTGTCAAATGCCTCAGGTAAATTGTCACACAACAACTCCAGGTAATTATACTGGTTCATATACTGGTTTTTGGGAAGCACAATGAGTTCACCAATGCTGAGCACTGAAACATCCCCAAACCATGAGTGAATCTGGGTGTTTGGTAGTCCCACAGGTGTAGAGTGGGTCTAGCGGGTCACTACCTCTGGGTCGGTACACGTGTCCCCCACTGTTACAGGTGACGGTGAAGGTTGCTTCATCACTCCAAAGTATTTCAGACCACTGTTGAGGATTCCAGTGAAAATATTTCTTTGCATAATCCAGCCTACATTTCTTCTGTGGCTTGGAAAGGATCAGTTTCTTAACCTGGTGGTGACTACTGTAGCCCAGTTCTGACACACCTGTTAACAGTTCTCACAGACACCTCTGAGAGAAGATGTGGGTTCTTTTCTTTCAATTCTTTAGCAGTTATCTTTGGTGTACTCTTTAACTGCTTCTTTAACACAGTTAAGGTACGAACAGATGTCTTCTTCAAGGGGCCAGGCCAAGGTTTGGCAGATGGTAACTCGACACTGGCACCAGCCTTGAAACTTTGCACCCTGTTCCTCACTGAACACTCATACACACACTCCACTATTTCTTTCATCTGGTGCCCAGCTTTGTAAAGCCCTATGATTTGAGCTATAGTTTCAGGTGTTAAAGACTTCTTTCTACCCATAATCAAACATGTATAGCCCCAGAACCAAAGGGAACACTGGACAAAATATGGGGCGGATGAGAGACAAAAGTGCAATGCTTCCTCTCACTCTCACCATGGCAGCCACATGAGCACTGAGGAGTCACTGTGGAGTGTGGAGGCAGGCCTTGATGTCATGCTAATGGCTGCTACCTGGCATAATGCAGTAACAAAAAAAAAAAAACCTTTATGGTAGGCCTTTGATTTTTGTCACGGCATTATACCGGGACGCTCACCCATCATAATGCCATGACTAGCACTGGAGTACTGATCCAGATATGATCAAGTAGTGAGGCAGTTGTCTCTGTGATTCTAGCGGCGTCAAATTTAGCACGAGAAGGCTGGTAGGCCTACATCTGAGAGAATGGGTCTGGGTAGTCAGTGTGCACACTATAGAAAAAATATGGATGCCCGCATGGCATTGTGGGAACTCCGCCAAAGTAGCTTTGTTCATCGTGCCTGGAGGCAAGGAAGCTCTCACTCTCCACTCACTCTCCGGGAAATTCTGACTCTCCTCTTCACAACTTACAGTTCTAAGACTGATGGAAGTGGAGCTGAAGAGGAATTCTATGGTTTTGAACCATATGGTACATTGGTGCCATGTCATACAATGGTATCATATGGTACATTATACCATATAGTACAGGAACCCTAATGGAAATAAGTCTGTCTGACTTTTTTGGGTTATCCTAGGTTCTCCAAACATATGCTGCTAAGTATAATATTCTATGTAACTTTATTTGTATATACCTAAATAAACTTACTTACGATGCCACATGCACTTGAGTAAGTTTATTCAGGTGTACAGAAATACAATTACATGGATTATTATACATAGCATATGTATAAAATCCTAGGATAACCCAAAAAGTCAGGGTGACTTATTTCCACAGGGATCCTTGTATCTGTACCATATGGTGTCCTGTACTGTATGGCACCCTGTGCCATATGGTACCCTGTGCCATATGGTACCCTGTGCCAATGACCTGGATTGGTACCCTGTGCCATATGGTACCCTGTGCCATATGGTACCCTGTACCATATGGTACCCTGCACAATATAGTACCCTGCACCATATGTTTTCCTGTACTGCATGGTACCCTATGCCATATAGTACAATGTACCATATGGTACCCTGTAACATATACCGTGTACCATATGGTCAATAGGTGGTGGTGGTGGTACGGGACACCAGCCAAGACCAGTGAGTGGCAATGCAAGCTAGCTACTGACTCAGCAGTTTCCAAGACAAAGCGCTTTGTCATCCACCTCAAGGAACATGTCGAGTTCTTGTACATTTGTAAATATATAATAGAACATTACTAATATACAACATTTTTGCATATTTTTGTTGTAAACAATTATTGTAAAGAAAATAATGATGAAAATATAAGTGTGCTTATTGTGTTGAATACAACAGTACCATATAGTACCATATGGCACAATGAACCATATGGTATCATTGTATTATATGGTACCATTGTACCAAATGGTGCCATTGTACCATATTCTACCATATGGTACAGTGGTACTATATGATACAATGGTACTATATAGTATATGGTACAATGAACCATATGGTGTCATTGTACTATATGGTACAATGTACCATATGGTACCATTGCACCATATGGTACCATTATACCATATGGTACCACTGTACCAAATGGTACCACTGTACCAAATGGTGCCATTGTACCATATTCTACCATATGGTACCATTGTATCATGTGCCATTGTACCATATTGTACCATATGGTATCATTGCACCCTATGACACCATTGTACCATATGGTACTATATGGTTTCGTTGTATTCAACACAATAACCGCACTAATATTTTCATCATTTTGTTTACAATAAACTTGTAAACAAGTTTTGTAAGTAATATAATGATAAACAAATTAGTGCAGGTGTTGTGTTGAATACAATGAGTGTACACTTATACAACATACATTATATTGGTCTCACAGGCCACAAATGTTACTAGAAAAAAAAAAAATTAGGAAAGAAAAGAAAAAAGTATAAAAAACGTGAAATAAAAAAATGCGATTTTGCGGAAGTCACTGATGTTGCCGCCACCCGGTCATTTTGGGTCAACTTCCTGCCGCTGTATCTCGGTAAGTACTGATCAGAATTTTTTTTTTTTTGTTTTATTACCTTCACAAAAATATTATCTTTAATTCTGTAAGATTTTTTTTTTTTTTTTTTTTCAAAATTTCTTGGACACTGGGGCACCCCTTCAGATTTTGGCCTTGGACCTTGAAAGGGTTAAGTTTTTGGATGTGAATTTGGCAAATATATGTTCACCATATTTACCCCTGGTGCAACTAGATATACAGTGGACCTCCGGTACTCGATATTAATCCGTTCCTGAGAGCTCATCGAATACAGAAAATATCGAAAAGCGAATAAATTTTCCCCATAAGAAATAATGAAAATCAAATTAGTCCGATGCAAGACACCCAAAAGTATGAAAAAAAATTTTTACCACATGAAATATTAAGTTTAATGCAATAGAATAAATACAATAACAATAGAATAATTGACACTTACCTTTAATGAAGATCTGGTGATGATTGATGGGATGGGAGGAGGGGAGAGTGTCGAAGTTGTTACTGTTTAGAAGGGGAATCCCCTTCCATTAGGACTTGAGGTAGCAAGTCCTTTTTTGGGGTTACTTTCCTTCTTCTTTTAATGCCACTAGGACCAGCTTGAGAGTCACTGGACCTCTGTCCCCATTCCTTTAAGATTTGTCTAAAATGGGCCATAACATTGTCATTGTAATAGTCACCAGCACAGCTTGCAATTGCTGTGTTAGGGTGATTTTCATCCATAAAGGTTTGCAGTTCAACCCACTTTGCACACATTTCCTTAATTTTTGAAGTAGGCACAATGGATTCCACAACTGGCATAGGCTTCTCAGGGTTAGCCCCAAACCCTTCAAAATCTTTCTTAATTTCCATACTAATTCTTACCCTTTTTACCACAGGGTTGGCACTAGAAGCTTTCTTGGGGCCCATGGTGACTTATTTTGCAGAAACAAGCACCAAAAACAGTGATAATATGGAATGTACCTAATGTATCCTTAGATGCGCGCACACTGCCTGGCTTGTAAACACTGGCACACATGGGGTAGTACAGGCCACACGTGGACACGTCTCGTACAAATCGCATCGAATACCGGGTTTTCGATCGGATACCAAGGTGAAATTTTGCGTTAAAACGCATCGAATACCAGATTTATCGGATACCAATGCCATCGAATACCGGGGGTCCACTGTAATACATTTTAGTTCATTAGAGTAGTAGATAGCAGTGCCTCCTCCTCCTGCAGTGTGACTTTGTAAATAGTCCAAGTCAGACTGAAACGTCGTCATGAGCTCCTTTCTCCTATGTTCGGGTTATTTGTGTATTGTTCCAGTAACGGTAATGTGCCTTTTTGTTCTTTAACCCAACTGATTTACCCCTCTCATTCTATCCACTGTCTCATGCACCTCTCCCACACTCATATCTGACTCCTCCTCATTCCTAAAAGGTTTTGTAAATAAATGCAAGAAATTGCTGCCCCTCTCTCTTTCCATCAACATTCAACAACTCTAAGTATTCACTACATCTTTCCAGTACCTCTGCTTCTGCTTGTATCATCACTTAATAGGGAACACTATGCAATGTGTGGACTACAGCATAGACCTTCAGCAGCTAATGCTTCTGTTTTAATGTAATTCATTTACAGTGCATAAGCTGTATAAACTCTTACTTGAAGCTTAAAAGGGAGCTTGCTTTGAGATATCAGGGTAGTGTACATCATTCTGTTAGCTATCCTTAGTTACCAGATTTAAGATTAGTGGTTGAATGGTTCACTGAAGCATTATCAGATTTGTTTGTGTGGCTTAATGATGTAAATTTCCATTCAGAAAGATGCTGACCATGGTGATAGCATGAAAACATGCCATTATCTCTCAAGTACTGATTCTGAGGATGGCTTTTACTTCAGTAACACTTTAAAAGGTGCAGTTTTTTCTTCCTAAAAATTATCCAATGAAGGGCAAGCAAACAAAAAAAAAAAAAAAAATCTTCTTGGGTCACAGTGAAGAAAAATAAAAATAAAACTATACTTGTGATAAGCTTAAAGTCAAACTTCTTAAACTTTATGATCAAACAGGTGTATTTCCTTTTCAGCAGAGAGCCAAGAAATCAATGTCAAAACCAAAATCATCAGTAACAGCAGTAGCAGCAGCATCAGGGGCAGCTGTTACAACAGCCACAACAGCAACTGTAGTAACTACAGTAACAGCTTCAGGAACCACAGCATCCAACTCAGGAATTATTTTACAGTCAATGCCAGTGTCAAGTAACCGGCCTGGGCGACCCAAGAAATTAGACATAAATACCAGGTGAGTGGATCAAGGTGAGGGTGTGGGTGATGGGGGAAATGAAGGGAAATGAATGAATGAATGTTGTATTTGTGCGCCACTGCAAAGACAGTGATAATGTGAATAATGGCGAAAGTGCTTTCTTTTTTTTTGGGGGGGGGGTCACCCTGCCTCAGTGGGAGATGGCCAGCATGTTAAAAATAATAATATAGAGATAGATAATGTGCTGTATATTCTAAAATATTGTATCTTTCTAGGGACACTGCTTCAGTGAGCTTTTCTGGCATGGTGCTACAGCCTCAGAACCAACCTCCCATTCAGGTCCAGTCCAGTTCTGCAACCATCTGGCCATCAGGGACAATTACTGCTCAGCCAGTTTCTTCTCTGGCACCAGTGGCTCCAAGTCTTGTTGTTACAAATGTGATACAGCCACAGCAACAGGTTTTTGGGCTCTGTGCAATTCAGTCGGTAAACCCTCGGAAGTCACCACCCTCGTATTCTGAACACCAGTTGAGGGCTGCGGGTCTGCCACACAACCAGGGGGTTGATTTCATTAAACAGGCAAATGCAAGTCGGTTGAGAATGGTTTCAGCAGGTAATCAACCTCAGCAGTTGCAAGTCATTACAACACAATCAAATCAGCATGATATCCCAGTGTCCTTACAACAGCAACCGCAGTCTCAGCAGGTGACTGTACAGCTGCAGGCACAGCAAACTGATAATCCTGCATTAAAGCAGTTTATGCAGCAGAATCACATGCAGCAACTGCTTTTGCATCAACAAAAGCCAGTACAGCAGCATTCCAACACTACTAGGCAAGGTATACTTTGTAGAAGTTTTCTCAGCCTTTTAGGTACAGTAGGGCATCATTTTACAGCATTCCGCTAATACGGACATTTCAACTTATAACCAAAACTCGATATTCGGCTCCCCCCACCTGACTTTCTAAATACGGTCACCACATCTTACATAGTTTACATCCTCCGAGAGCACCGTGTCTCTCCATTGTGTCTGAAAACTTTCCCAAATTTCAAGTGTTTTAAAGTTATTTCATGTTTTATATATACAGTGGACCCTCCCTTTTTGTCGATCTCTGTTATCGCCAATTTCTGTTTCGTCGAGTTTTTTCATCAAAATATTGGTTACGTTTTCATTGATATCCTCTGTTTTCATCGATGGTATGGAACCTGTCCAGTGCCCAGAGCGCACACAAAGCTGCCTCCCACACGCATTCTGAGGCAGTGTCGTGTTGTTTCTCGGTGAGTGAACATATCCTGCACTGTCATATGAAACATTTCATAATAATCCATTGTTTTTGGCACTTGTTTATTGTGAGTGACTGCTAAATAAGCCACCATGGGCCCAAAGAAAGCTGCTAGTGAGAGCCCTTTGGTGAAGAATGTGAGGAATACTGTAGAATTAAAGACAAAGATTGTAGAAAAAGACGAAAGTGGTGGTGATAGAGGGTGGTAGTGATGGTGGTAGAGAGTGGTTGTGATGGTGGTAGAGAGTGGTAGTGATGGTGGTAGAGGGTGGTAGTGATGGTGGTAGAGGGTGGTAGTGATGGTAGTAGAGGGTGGTATTGATGGTTTTAGAGGGTGGTTGTGATGGTGGTAGAGGGTGGTAGTGATGGTGGTAGAGGGTGGTAGTGGTGGTGGTAGAGGGTAGTTGTGATTGTGTTAGAGGGTGGTTGTAATGGTGGTACAGGGTGGTAGAGGGTGGTTGTGATGGTGTTAGAGGGTGGTTGTGATGGTGGTAGAGGGTAGTTGTGATGGTGGTAGAGAGTGGTAGTGATGATGGTAGAGGGTGGTAGTGATGGGGGTAGAAGCTGGTTGTAATGGTGGTAGTGATGGTGGTAGAGGGTGGTAGTGATGGTGGTAGAGGGTGGTTGTAATGGTGGTAGAGAGTGATAGTGATGGTGGTAGTGTGATAGTGGTTGTGGTGGTGGTAGAGGATGGTTGTGATGGTGGTAGAGGGTGGTTGTGATGGTGTTAGAGGGTGGTTGTGATGGTGGTAGACAGTGGTAGTGGTAGAGGGTAGTAGTGAGGGGGGGTAGAGGGTGATTGTAATGGTGGTAGTGATGGTGGTAGAGGTGGTAGTGGTTTTGGTGGTGGTAGAGGGTGGTTATGATGGTGGTAGTGATAGTGGTAGAGGGTGGTAGTGATGGTGGTAGAAGGTGGTAGTGATTTGTGCAATGTGGAATAGGGTGCAAACATTTATGGAGGAATCACAATACCATGTCCCATTTTAGGGAAATTTTAAAGAGATGCCAGAAACAGAGCTCTCTGGACCAGTTTTTTTGTGCAACAGGGGTCCAGTGACTTTCAAGCTGGTCCAGTGGCATTAAAAAACAAAGAAGGAAAGTGACCCCAGATAAGGGCTTGGTACCTAGAGTCCTTATGGAGAGGGGGATTCCCCCATCCAAAGAATAACCTCTCTTCCCTCTCCCCTCCTCTCTGTCTTCCATCCACCAATAACAGTCTTCAATAAAGGTAAGAGCCATGTTGAAAGTTCATTCTTTTGTGCATGTAAATCTATCTTTAAGGTAAAAAATTTTTTTTTTTTTTAGTAATACTTCTGGGTGTCTGGAATGTATTAATTGGATTTACATTATTTTTTATGGGGAAAATGGTTTCAGTTTTTGCCGATTTCCGTTTTCGCCGACCTCTCTGGAATGGATTAAACACGAAAACAGAGGGTTCACTGTGCTCTGATAATTATACTTATGTGTCTCTGTACCTAAATAAAGTCACTAAGAATGTCATATTAGTCTTGAGGATGCCATATTAATAATAATAATAATATTAATACACAATAATAATAACTGTGATATGTTTTTCAAAATTATATAATAAACATGCTACTTAACATATGAACATGATAAATACACCTCACAGAATAAAGTAACATAAATATTAGATGTTAGGTGTAGATGAACATGTATAACCAGACGCCAGAGACCATAACAAGACGCGTTCGTCTGGTCATGGTCTCTCTCCTCTCTCATTTACTTGTTCTCTCTCTCATTTATTTGTTTTACCTCATTTACTCACCTCTCACCCTACATTAAGACTGCAAATATTTTAAGGTTAGTAATGAGTGTACTGTATATGCATTTTATCGCTCTAGGGCGCTTTAAATGTTGTAGTACGTATATTACTTGTGGGTGGGGTGGCCTGGCTGGTTACCATACCTCCCACACCTGACTTCCTACAAATAAATACTACTCACCTTTCACCCTACATTAACCCTTTGACTGTTTCAGCCGTATATATACATCTTACAAGCCAGTGTTTCGGACATATATATACTCAGTAATTCTAGCGACTTCAGATCAAGCAGGAAAAAGCTGGTAGGCCTACATGTGAAAGAATGGGTCTGTGTGGTCAGTGTGTACTGTATAAGAAAATCCTGCAGCACGCAGTGCACAATGAGAGAAAAAAAACTCCGACCGTGTTTTTGGATTAAAACGCCGACTTTGAGGTGTATTTTCCTATAGTATTTATGGTTGTATTCTCATTTTCTTGGTCTCATTTGATAGAATGGAAAACACATTACAGAAATAGAGATGATATTGATTAGTTTCACAATGAAAACGACCTTGAAATTGAGCTCAAAGTAACGGAAATGTTCGAGTTTTACCAATGTTCAAGAGTAAACAAATCACACCACACGTCCAATACACGTCAACTTTGGAGTCTGATATTCTTTCACTAGTGCACTGATATTATTTATACTATTTTTACAATAATGCAGTAGTCTGCATAACAGTAAATCTTCTATTTTTTGTGTGAATAATAAAATAAAAATAGACAGCAAGAGTAATATAAGAGGGGCCTGGAGATGTGACTAATGAACAGAGGATATTATTTTAGTGCCAAGAGTGTCTGCATTGTTTACTCTGGACCCTATTTTGAAATTGGCATCTTTTTTAATTTGCGTGAAATTGGCCAAATTGCCAATTTCTGACCACTTTATTGGGTAGTTGAAATCAGTAAATGGGCGGTTGTACTCATTTGATAGAAAAAATGGAGTTCTAAAGAAATAGCTGTGAGTTTGGTCGACTGGAACAATGGAATTGGCCAAAAAAAGGTCTCAAAGTTGGTGAAATTGCCAATGCATATATATCGCCGAGATCACTAACTTTACGGTAGCATAATTCCGTAAGTTTTCGATCAGATTTCGTACTTTTGGTGTCATTACCATTGGGAAAAGATTATCATTTCATAAGAAAAATAAAATTTTTTGTTTTTCAAAAAATTTTTGACATCAGGAGACACTTCAGGATTTGTGGTTGTGACAGTCAAAGGGTTAAAATTACAAATATTTAAGTTATGTACTGTGTTGCGAATAAGAAATTTTTTAAAGAACGTCAGGACGTGGCCTGTTACCATTCATTTCTTATGCAACAAGATTTTTGGATCCGAGTTATTTAAATTTGTTTTAAGAGTCTAGGGGAAATAATTTCAACTGGGAAACTCCATAGAATAATATTCAAATTTATTAAAGTATTTAAATACAATACTTTATCTTGTCTTTGTAGTTAATGTAATTTAATACTTTGTACAATAAATTTACCATATACATTTAGTTCAAAATCATGGAAATGTCACATTAATAAGGAAGTTTAATTATTCTTCCTGTAATTCAGTTTTCAATAACATTTACGTCTTTGTCTTAACAAGACTGTAAACTCAAAATACAAAAGGTACAAGATTTAACAAGACCTTTGAATCTGGCCGTAAAGTATCTCTATGGATTACTGAACTGACCAAGAATATAAATATCAAAAGAATCTTTCAGAGCAATGAGGAACAAACTGAGTCAGCTCTAGAGTCCAATTCTCAAAACCATTCAAACTGTACACCGTAAGAGCCAATATACGATCAGTTGTCAGGGCTAGAGCAGGGAGCAGACTGACTACTTGCCAGTCTGTTGACGTGTCGTCAGGTTGGATCAACTGACCCACGTCAGCCAGCCGGACATAAACAATTGAACAATTCACCGGATAGTTCCGAGACTTAAACTCTATATACGCAAGAAATCCTACCTAACAATAATACTAAAATAATAGTGATAATAACAAAATAGTGATAATAACGATAATAGTGATAATAGTGATAATAACGATAATACCATGGTATTTTTTATATTAACAGATAATAATATAACGCCAAAAGTCTGTATTTTAGCTATAAACGGGGACTTTCGTGCTATAATATTAAGTGATGAACATATTCTCTTACAATAGTTAAATAACGCAGGATGACCAATTTCGAAGATATAACAACTGTTATATGCATTTCATTGCTCTGGGGTGCTTAAAGCTGGTAGGCCCACATGTGAGAGAATGGGTCTGTGTGGTCAGTGTGCACCATATAAAAAAATCCTGGAGCACGCAGTGTATAATGAGAAAAAAAAACTCCTACCGTTTTTTTTAATTAAAATGCCGACTTTGTGGTCTATTTTGTATAGTATTTATGGTTGTATTCTCGTTTTCTTGGTCTCACTTGATAGAATGGAAAACATATTATAGAAATAGAGGTGATTTTGGTTGGTTTTACTATAAAAAGAACCTGGAAATGGAGCTCAAAGTAGGGGAAATGTTTGATCTTTGCCGATGTTCAAAAGTAAACAAATGATGTCATTGTCCAATAAATGTCCAGGTAGCAATTCTTATATGCAGTCATGAATGGATTGACATTATTTGTACAACTATTACAATATTGCAGTAGTCTGCATAACAGTAACTCTTCTATTTTTTGTTTGAATAAAAATTCAAAATAGAAAGCAAGAGTAATATCAGAGGGGCCTCGAGATGTGACTGATGAACAAAGAAAATGTTATTTTAGAGCCAGGAATGTCTGCATTGTTCTTTCTGGACCTTATTTTGAAATTGTCATATTTTTTAATTTTCGTGAAATTGGCCAAATTGCAAATTTCTGACCACGTTATTGGGTAGTTGAAATCAGTAAATGGGCAGTTTCTTGTACTCAATCGATAGAAGAAATGGAGTTCTAAAGAAATAGCTATGAGTTTGGTCGACTGGAACAATGGAATTAGCCGAAAATAGGGCTCAAAGTGGGTGAAATCGCCAATTTGTAAATATTGCCGAGGTCGCTAACTTCGCGAGAGCGTAATTTCGTCAGTTTTCCATCAAATTTTGTTTTTTTTTGGTGTCATTACAATCGGGAAAAGATTCTCTATCATTTCATAAGAAATAATTTTTTTTTTTTAAATTTTGCGACACCAGGAGACACCTCAGGATTGGGGGTTGCGACAGTCAAGGGGTTAAATGTCGTAGTATATTATGTGTGGGTGGGTTGGCCTGGCTGGCTACCATACCTCCCACATGTGACTTCTTACAATAAATACGTACTACTCACCTCTCACCTTACATTACGACTACAAATATTTTAGGGTATGTAATGAGTGTACTGTGTGTGTATTTTACTTTTTAATGGTTTTGATGCCTAGTTCTATTGCTAACTTAATATATGCTAGTGTAAACTTGTTATCTGGCATTTATATGCATTTGCAGGTGGAAAAAAATGGTGTTCTGCTTTCCTGCGATGTCCGCTTTCTGATGGTAGCCTGGAGCCTAACCTGCTGTGTAAGTGGGGCCTTGCTGTATAAGTATACAACTAATAATTATGTAAGCTACACACATGATTGTGAGAGATATAGAAAAAATGAATTAACAGGAGAAAATAGATGTCACAGTAGGGATATAGATGAAAGTTTGGACGTATAGAACGAAGTACCGTACATATCTTGTAATAAATCTGTTAATGTTTAACACATTTCTTGTGGCTTGTTAAGGATGTCCACAAAATTTTACGTTGGCATGCACGGAAAAAGAAAAAAAATTGAATCCTTCGTACTATTGCAGCAGAGCAAACACATCTGTCATCAGAATCACTTCAAGGCTACTTTTATACTTGACTAACTAGTTTTAAAGGGAAGGTATATAATCTCATAAAAAATGTTGTGGTAGATCCTCATATTACATAGATTTATTTGGCACATTTTGCTTATTACACTACTGAAAAATTGCGGCATAATTTTATACAACACTTTGTAAAATTAACTTAACACGGTTTGGTTTGTGGGAGGGGAAAAAATTGGAGCATCACCCATGGGATATTCCCCTAGCTCAGTCCACCACCTGGCTGTGGATGAGGCCACTGTCTCCACTGGAAAGTCCTGCCACCCCACCACCCCTGTCCCAGCCTTCCATTCATACTCATCTAGGACCATTCTCTTCAGGAGCTAGCTGTGTTTGTGGATTGTGTTTTGATACTTTAATTACCATATCTTGTATCTGCTAAGCAATCATAGCATCCAGTAGGCACACAAGTGTTGCTGAAAATGGCAAGAAAATTGAGTTTGCGTAATGAATAACCCAGGATGTAGTCTCATGAAAAGAATGACACATAGATTACAAAAAGTAAATAAAATGGAAAGCCTATTGCTTCAGTGGATTGAACAAAAAACAAAAGAAAGGTGCACCACTTAATTTCATATTAATTAGGGAAAAGGCCTTACATTTGTTTAAAGCAGTGTGTGATAAGGAAGGATGACCTGAAAAAGTATGTGTGTTTAGCTCTGACTGGTTCCACAACTTTAAGTTGTGTAATAACGTACCTAATGTTAAGTTATCTGGTGAGAGTGCTTCTGCTGATCATACAGCAGCAAGTAATTTCCCTGCTGAATTTCAGGAAATTATTTCTGAGGGTGGCTATGAACCACGTTAGGTGTTTAATGCTAATGAGACAAGTGCTTTTTGGAAGAAAATGCCAACTAGAACTTATATCAGTCAGCAAGAGAAAAGTGCACCAGGCTTCAAGGCAGCAAAGAATCGCTTCACCTTGCTCCTTTGCGGTAATGTGTCAGGTGATTTCAAGTGTAAGCCCATGGTTATTTACTGCTCTAAGAATCCTTGTGCTTTGAAAGTTGTAGATAAAAACACCTTACCAATAATTTGGAGGTCAACCAGTCAGCATGGATGATAGAAGAAATATTTATTGACTGGTTGAACCCTTTCACTGTCAGTAATGGATAGATACAGCTTACAGGCCAGTGTCGGTAACATATTACAACACCAAAATTCTAGCTGCTTCAAATCTAGCAGGAGAAAGCTGGTAGACCTACATGTGAGAGAATGGGAGTGCGTGGTCAGTGTGCACAGTATAAAAAAATTCGGGGAGGCCACAGTGCATTGTGGGAGTGCTAATTCAGTACCCTTGTTCACCCATGCCTAGCGGTAAGGAATACCTCACTCCCTGGAGAATTGAGAGACTTCTCTTCCCAAGTGATAATTCTAACAAGTGTCATTGAAGATGAATCTCATGGTCTTGAGGAGTTTGTAACTGAAAGCAATGCCCAGGATACCAGAAATAGTGCTGAAAAACCCAAGCGACTATCAGCTTTCCACCTCAGTTGTACCACAGCGAAAGAGGAAACTCATATTTTCCCATGTCTCAAAGAATAAGTAAGTTTATTCGGGTATACACAAATACAGTTACGTAGTTTATCATACACAGCAGCATGTGTGTAGATTACTTAGGAAAACCCAAAAAAGTCAAAGTGACTTATTTCCATGTGGGTGGTGGGAAGACAGCATGGTTGGTGGGGAAGACAGTGTGGGTCATGGGGAAGACAGCATGGGTGGTCTGGAAAGCAGTGTGGGTTTATGTAAACATGTTTTGTAAACAATATAATGATGACAATATTTGTGCTGTTATTGTGTTGCATACAATGGGTGGATATATATATATTATATATATATATATATATATATATATATTATATATGTATATATATATATATATATATATATATATATTATTATTATTATTATTATGCATTATATTGGTCTCACAGGCCACAAAAGTTACTTGAAAAGTAAAAATAATATTACCGAGTGAGCGGCAGTCGCCGATGTTGCCGTAAGGGGTTCACTTTGTCAACTTCACGCCTCTATATCTCAGTAAGTACTGATAGGAAAAAAAAAAAGAATTCTTTTAAAACAATCAGAAAAATATTCTTAAGATTTTAGTAAGAATTTTTTTTTTTTTTTTGGAATATTTTTCGACACTGAAAGCAAGTTTGTGATCAGGGGCTTCGACAGTGAAAGGGTTAAGCATCACTTTATTCCTGAAGTACATCAAGAACCTTGCATTCAAGGCTCTCTTCATTCTTGATAATTCCTGTGCTCATCCAGAAGCTTTGCTGGATGTGACTTCACATGTAAAAGTTGTATTTTTACCTCCAAATATAACAACTTTAATACAACCACTGGATCGGGGCGTTATAATCATTCAGGTGTAACTACACAAGAAAGATGATGAAAGAACTAGTTGCATCAATAGACTCCGACTCCAACCTGGCAGTACCAAGCTTCTGGATTGATGTATAATGTACTGTAGGGTAAAAGAAGCCAGAGATTCATTACAGAATTTATGTACACTCCAATGCAACCTTTGACTTAAGTACCAGAACCTCAGCCATCTACTTCTGCTGACAGCCAACAACCATCCACATCAGCCCAGTAGGGCCACACCTTGCATCTCCACTCTCTTCACAGTCATTGACATACACCAGCAACCACAATTTAAGGTAAATCATATTATTTCTGTTGCATTTGTAGTCTTAAGCAACAAGAACAATATTATCATTTTTATTTTTGTAAGATCTGGATGTCTAAAAAAAGTTTTTGTTTTGGGGGGGGTCCCCTATTTTTCCTGTAAGTTCTTCAGTTTACATAACACAGATTTTGATCTAACGTGGAATTTTTAGGAACGTAACTACCTTGTAATATGAAGGGTCTACTGTATATGTATATTTTTTATTAACACATTGGCCATTTCTCACCAAGGCAGTGTGACCAGAAAAGAAAAAATACTTTTATTGTCACTCCATCACTGTTTTGCCAGAGGTGTGCCGACACTACAGTTAAAAAACTGCAACATATCTCCACCCCTCCTTCAGAGTGCATGCGCTGTACTTGCCACCTCCAGGACTGAAGTCTGGCTAACCAGTTAACCTGAGTCTCTTCATAAATGTTACTTTACTGTTATTCCAATAGCAAGTCAAGTCATAAGAACCGTTTTCCTCCTCTTACTCCTATCTAACATGCTCACTTATACAATACAATACAATTTTTATTTCATTGCAAGTTTACATTGAGATTTTGTAATTATAATAATGAGTTGCAGTGCAAAGAGAGCCACTATCATCCCATGGCATTATGGGCAGACTAAATGGCTTCCAGACTACTTAATTCTAGAGAAATTGATCATAGTTTAAGTTGCACATCTGTTTTTATTTAAAGCAGACAGTAAATTTACTCAAGTTACAATCTGGGGATATTACATTGGGACAATTTTAAAGTATTTTGTAGGTTGTGTATATCAATAGTAAATATTTAAGTTATATTATTGGAAGATAATGTTGAGGGGTATGGAAGAAGTGAATGTTTTCAGATACTTGGGAGTTGACGTGTCGGCGGATGGATTTATGAAGGATGAGGTTAATCATAGAATTGATGAGGGAAAAAAGGTGAGTGGTGCGTTGAGGTATATGTGGAGTCAAAAAACGTTATCTATGGAGGCAAAGAAGGGAATGTATGAAAGTATAGTAGTACCAACACTCTTATATGGATGTGAAGCTTGGGTGGTAAATGCAGCAGCGAGGAGACGGTTGGAGGCAGTGGAGATGTCCTGTCTAAGGGCAATGTGTGGTGTAAATATTATGCAGAAAATTCGGAGTGTGGAAATTAGGAGAAGGTGTGGAGTTAATAAAAGCATTAGTCGAGGGCAGAAGAGGGGTTGTTGAGGTGGTTTGGTCATTTAGAGAGAATGGATCAAAGTAGAATGACATGGAAAGCATATAAATCTATAGGGGAAGAAAGAGGGGTAGGGGTCATCCTCGAAAGGGTTGGAAAGAGGGGGTAAAGGAGGTTTTGTGGGCGAGGGGCTTGGACTTCCAGCAAGCGTGCATGAGCGTGTTAGATAGGAGTGAATGGAGACGAATGATACTTGGGACCTGACGATCTGTTGGAGTGTGAGCAGGGTAATATTTAGTGAAGGGATTCAGGGAAACCGGTTATTTTCATATAGTCGGACTTGAGTTCTGGAAATGGGAAGTACAATGCCTGCACTTTAAAGGAGGGGTTTGGGATATTGGCAGTTTGGAGGGATATGTTGTGTATCTTTATATGTATATGCTTCTAAACTGTTGTATTCTGAGCACCTCTGCAAAAGCAGTGATAGTGTGTGCATGTGGTGAAAGTGTTGAATGATGATGAAAGTATTTTCTTTTTGGGGATTTTCTTTCTTTTTTTTGGGTCACCCTGCCTCGGTGGGAGACGACCGACTTGTTGAAAAAAAAAAAAAAAATGTTGAGGGTTGGCAGAAGCAGTTTACAGTATGAGAATGCTACAATATGGTGTAAGGCAGCATAGTTTTGTTCAGGTATTTATACTACAATGTAGTACAGTGGACCCCCGGTTATCGGCCGTAATCCATTCCTGAAGGCCAGCCAATAACCGAATTAATATTTCCCATAAGAATTAATGGAAATACAATTAATCCATTCCGAACAAAAAAC